TATATATATATATATATATATATATATATATATATATATATATATATATATATATTAAGGGAAGCCCATTTTGTACATAGCTTTATCTATTCTGGGTGAATATTAATTCCGAACAGCAGGTGACAGCTCGGCCTGATCTGTGAGGATATGGATTGAATGCTGACAGATGAGTGGGGGGTTGGTAGATTGAGGTCAAGGTTCAGGCAGGCGCTGGGGGTTGTTGATCCATGTAACACAACCTCTTTCTGTAAGCAGAAGCCACGTACAACAGGAAAGTTGTGAAGTGTCGGTGTAGGGATGACGTCCCCAATCAAATGGGTAAACACAGCAGAACTCTGACTGAATCATCTGCTTGCTTAGAGGATTTCTGAGCCAGGATTTTATTGATTGTTTCTTCTCTCATATGCCCCCGCACTAACAAGCGGCCGCTCACAATCACACACATGTTAAGAAGGTAACTTACCTCCTTTGCGGTTGGAGGCGACGGGTGCCCCGGCTGTCCGTTCTCTGCACGGAGGGGGGGTGCATGCAAGGTGATGATGTCATCATCCTCTGGAGGCTTCCAGATGTACTGCTCCCCATTGCCTATGAAGGCTGCCTCCTGATAAACAAAGTGAAATGTTTAGCTCAGAAAGTCACTGTGCAAAGTTTTGCAAATCAAATCAGCCTTGCTTCTCAGAGATTTAAAAGTTAATGATATCTATGATATCTATCCTTAGTTTTAACTCAAGATGCACCAATCTGGAGTTTTTCTGCTCTATGGTGAGATCTGATATTCCGTAAGGTCTGACCACCTGCTGTAGGATTTTTCTGATTCCATTCTTATATAAATTAAAATCTGTAAAAGAGAAAATATGTGATGCAGGCTCTTCGTTAGAGGTGGTGGTTTTAAATGAACCACAGTTTCATCTAGAACAATAGTGCACATTTGTTTTATGTAATAAATGATCCAAAAAAAAGGGTGTCAAAATCCCCAATCCAAAAAGTATTTGATTCTTATCTGTAATGTAGTGTGATAACTGTTCTTGTTTAAACTTTATTTTTGTAGGAATTCACTCTGAGAGACCCCTTGTGGTGTATATGTGTCTAAATGTTGTTTCAAGATTCCCATTCCTGGTGGACAAGTTTAAATTAAGACTTTAGAAGGTAAAATTGAAATAATGACTTTTTAACTAAATAACCTTTATTGCATTATTTCAAATATCCCAAAATATTGGCCTTTTAACAAAAGGTGTTTTGGTTAAGTGAACATCAAACAGTTGGTAAAAAAAAGCCATTGAGACTCTTGTTGACAAGAAAACTACTCTGGCATCAGTTAAGACATTAAATTAGCTGCACTTTACTTTCTGCCTCCTGAACTCCTCTGATATAGATTTCAAGAAAGAGCTCTGAGTATTTTTAAAAACAATATCAAGTTACTGGATGACTTCTATCATTGGGAAAAAAAATGGCAGCTTCATGCTCAAATGCTTGTTTTTTTCAGTTCCTCCTTGCTCTGTGGCCAACCGTTCCACAATATTTTCATGCAAATTTGCAAGCTCAAAAATATCCTGCTGACAGGCTGACAAACAGGCAGACCTAATGAAACACAGACAGTGCTGCCAAAACATAACCTCCTTTTAACTCTGCCGGTTGGGGCCTGGGGGAGTGGGGAGTTGGGGGGGTTAGGCTTGAGGAGAGATAGTGGTCGCATATGAATCTTTTTTTTCCAACAAAAAACGATAGAGCCTTCGCAGACTGATGGCTAACAGTTCACATAATTCTTTTATTACCTTTAATGTTACATAAAATAAACCTTACTGGGGCCCATACTCTGCATGGGTGGCTTGAGAGAAACCTGGATGTCATAAAACAATGACCCAACATGACTTTTCTTGCAAAACCTTTTTTATGGCAACATGTCTTAAGAGGAATTAGTAACCAATTAGGAAACATAAATTAGTGGACACACATGTGACTGAGGATGATAAAACTTTTATACGCCCTCCCCAAAGCAGGGAGTGAGCAATAATAGGCCCTACAGTGCAAATGGCTTCAATATGTGCGCAATATCTCAGGCTGCTGGCTACCTGTTAGCTGTTTCTAGATAGACTTGCTGATGGATTCAACAGTGGCATCCAAACACACACACATCCACATCAATGCACACCTATAAACACACACAAGGACACACTGAAGGCTGGGCAGCCTGCCAAACCCTTACATAATCCATGCTTTAATAGTGTGCTGCGCTGCACAATGCAAAGGGACCACAAAAAATAAACCAACACAGACACATACCCACCCACAGCATACAGGTGTGCAAACCTACACACTAGAGTGTTGGCCTAGTGGGTTAGAGCAGTTCACTTGTGCAAGTACCTTGTCCTTACTGCTTGCACTTTGGGTTCCTTAGCAAGACCCTTAACCCCACACTGCTCCCCAGGTGCCACACAATGGCAGCCCACTGCTCCCGAAGGGGATGAGTTAAATTAAATGCAGAGAGTGAATTTCCCCATTGTGGAAAAATAAAGGGACTTACCGGTACATTTTAGACAAAGGGTTTAGCACACTCTCATTAGGAAGGCAAGTCAGTAACAAGCTGCACCAGCTATGAGGCAAAAACATTGAAATAATAGTATCCTTCATTTTAAACAGATGTTTTTGGCTTTGCTTAACGTGTTAACTGAGGTTTAAATGAATCAGTTTTTTTTTCTAAACGATATTTATGCTGTGATGAATAACAACAATTATATATATATATATATATATATATATATATATATATATATATATATATATATATATATATATATATATATATATATATATGCAAAGTCTGTAACACAAAGTATAATAAATTACACAAAACAGACAGTTTTTTTTATTATTTAATTTGTGGAGTTTTAATATTTTGTTTATTTCATTTAAACTAAAATAGATAACCCAAATTGCAATTTAGATAGCTCACTACATTAATGATAAAAGAACCAGCCCAATAATTTTTTACTGAATCTCTAAGGCTTAACATGTTTGTTTGAGGACACTGCCCTCTTGTGGTCTTGAGCCTTTCTTACAGCTAGCAGAACATCTCTGGTTGGGGAATTGAACAGATTATGTGCTCCAAGATATTACTGTTTTTTTTTTTTTTTTTTTTTGTACCTTTGGGAAAGGGTGTAGGTGGAAAGGCTCCAACAGCTTGCGTGGAAACTCCTGACTACGATGTAGGGGAAGAGGGGCAGCAGAGGGAGAGTCGCTCACGCTAGACTGGCTGTCTGACATGCTGTCTGCTCCGTTATTCTCCTTCCGGCTTAACTTGTCCACCTGAAAAATTGAAATTGCAATCTCTAAAATTGTATTAACTGATTTTAATAAAAATATCACAACAAATTTAGATCCTTATTGCATAGGTGTGGGCAATTAGTTAATGATGATTTTGATAGTTTCACTACAGGCACTGTGGAGTTTGTAGATAGCTTAGAAATCTTTACGACTCTAAATACACCAACTTTGACAGCTTAGCATAAGCCTGACTTTGATATGTTCTTTTCTGGAGTAAAATCTGAAACTCAGTTACTGTTACATAAGATGTATTAGGAGAGTCTTAAATTCTTTTGAAAAGTTCAAGGATGAACCACTAATAATTATATCCTTCTAAATCCCCCAGAATTTTCTTTTCAGACAAAAGGATTCTTTTTATTTTTTATTTTACCTAAGATAAAAATAGCTTTATTTCTACCTTTTTAAACTTTCGTATGGAAGCATATTCAGCTGCAGATGGATCTTGATTGATCAGGGAACTCGCAGACGACAGAGGAGATCTGCTCGCTCCACCTCCTCCATTACCTCTCACCGGCATAGTTCCATTAATGGTGCCATTTCCTCTGCCGTTCCCTCTACCAGTCTGTAAAGGAAAGCACACGCTTGATTTAACACTATTAACTAAAATCGCTAAAATTTCATCGATAAATTACTGTCTCAACATGGAAAGGGAAAACCAACTTATGCAATGAATTCTGAATGAGCCTCTTGCCTGCATCCAATGAATGCAGTTTATCTCCAAACAGGTATTAAAACCTTACAGCTGTAGGTTTAACATGTTTGGAGTAAACTTTATTTATTTTTTTCTTGTTATTAGTAAGAACTAAAGAATAAGTTTAATCTAATATAAAAGCATTTTTAAAAATACAACCTTTTGTTTTTTTAGCTGATAAAAAAATCCCTTCTTAAGAAATATATATATAAAAAACGGTGCTCCCCTTTAAGTATTGTGATGTTATAGTGATATATATACATATATGTATCAATAATGACTCTAGTTAATATTTAATGTCTCAGTTAAACAGATTCAGAGCATTTAATTTTGTGTTTTTCTTTTTATCTTGATCATTATTAATTTAATCTGAAGGAACATTGTGTCATTTTTTTCTCTGAGATGTAACCTCTTGTTGTTGTCTTTTTTTGTTGTTAATTTCTGCCTTTTAATCTTATTTTTACCTGAAAGCTTTCAATTGCCTCTTTGCTATGATTCGATTCTATTATATCCTATTTGTTTTTATTCTAATGGACTCCATTCTAATTAATTATATTGTATTGTTTAGTATCCCTTCCAAAATAACCATTAGCATGTAGGTAGTGTTTAATATGTGGCACTTTGTGCACTGGTTTTCCAATAGGGAACTTTGGATCTTATTTCTATCTCTCTCACCATCCTGATTACTGTGTGTGGTGGCAATATAAATATGGCTTCCTGTCCAGGGTGGCGTTTAATAGTAAAGATAAATGTTTTTATTTACCAGGGGACAACTAGGTCATAGAATGTTTTTTGCTGACTTAAAATACTATGAACATCTCGATGCTAAATGTCTGTTTGTACGTACGTTTAAATGGCTGTTCCCATTACGAGCTCCTCCTGCACTAGTAGGGGGGCTCTGAGCTGCCCTGACCGTCGATGGTGTGCTGCTTGATGAAGTCAGTGGAGCAGAGGGGACTTTGGGGGCTGCATCACATTCTCGGACCCCTACGCTTTCATACAGGCCATCGTCCAGGTAGTGCGTTGGGGTCGGGTTATTGCGCAGGCCCACCTCGGTGTAGGTGTGGTCTCTAGCCTCCCCTCCACCACCTCCACCTCCTCCCTCCCCTCCCACTTCCCCTCCTCCTCCACCACCTCCTCCTTGGCCAGACGCCTGGGGACTGGTGGGGATCTGGGGGAGCTGGCGACCGTGGGAAGGCCCCAGGTCAGTCTGGGAGCGCCGACTGTGGAGGAGCAGGAGGTCCATACTGGCTGGACGGCTCTTGCTAACAGCTGCAGCGAGACAGAGTTGACGAATAAGAAAGAGGGAGCACTGCTGACAACATGCAACAGCTCAGACAAGTGTGTCATTTAGTATAACACATGACCTTTAGTTAGCACTTACAGTTTCCATTGCAGGGAAAGCGATTGATCTCATGCAGCCTGGTGTCAGATTTACTCATGGAGTTCAGTTTTGGATGCCGAAGCGTACCCTGCTGTCACACATTCACACACAGACTTGTTAAATGAGGCATTAAACATGCAAACACATGCATGTGCATCTGTTAGAAAGGAGGTTAGAAGGAAGAGAGCTGAAGTAGATGGTGACAGGCGTGGTATTTTGAACAGTGAAACAAAAGCACTTCTTACCATATTTACAGATGTCCCTTTGTCTCCAGCTGGGGGGTGCTTGCTCTTACTTTTTCTGACATGGCAACAAAGTCATGAAGGTCAGCAGAGGACCGTGGGCAGAAAGAGAAAACACACACACTCAGAAAAGATAGATACCATCAGCATCCAACTGTGGTCAGGGTATGAAAGTCCTTGGTTGATAACAAGAGCCCAGTCGAAAAAGTAAATGGAGCATGACTCAGATTTTTTAACTCAAGCAAAAACGACCTTCAAAGATAAAATCTGATAAAATTCACAAATGTTCTTCTGTACTTTATTCCGCCTTCAGGTTGAAGGCTTGTAGAACAAATGTATTAAGATAAGCATTAGCCGTATGTGAAGATCCCTGGAGGTGGCTGTAACTACAGGGAACAGTAGTTGACATGGAGTCAAAGCAACAAGATGAAGTCAAAGTAAAAAAATATTGAAAATAAAAAAACTAATGTGCAGGTGTGACTGTGAAGAAGCGCTCCTCCCTCTGCCTCGCTTCTCGCACTTCGGAGGATAAGGCTCCTCTGCATCACGTAACACCAGAGATTCTACTGCTGTGCTGCAAAAACACACTGAAGCAATAAATAGAATTTCAGGTTTGCAAACAGGTGCAGAGTCCCTGCTGCGTCATCCTATTAAGCAGGTTGCTGCAAAGGCTGTGTCAGATCCATGTTACTGGAGCAAGATATTGTCTCCGCCAGTGAACTGCAACCGTTTGGTACAAACATATGGTCATCATGCCTCTAAGGGGATCCTGGGAAGGTGAAGAAAGCTCCCCTGGAGATTTTCATAAACACGCAAAGGGGGGGCGGGGGTTATGGCAAATGATGACAATGAAACACAAAGTCATAGAGATAAAAAGCCACTTATACTTTTCCTTCTTCTTAACTATTACGCTCCTTTTGGAAATAAATGAAACAAAATACATTTAAGTTTGTGTTAAGTTTGTGGCTGCAGTGTGACGAAATGAAAAAACAAAAAAATGCAAGAATACTTTTGTGAGGCGCTGTAAACTTATTTCCCTTGAACTTAGAGGGATGCACTGCAGCATTAAATGAACAGAACACTAATAGCAGTGGGATCAATAATTGTGAATAACAGACTGATTTGAACAGACAAACTGCTGATGATCCAGCAGGGAGCTCATGTTCTATATTATTCTTTAGATTAGAACAGCAAGGTTGTTTTCTTCATGACATAAGCTGGTTTGACATTTTTCTGCATCCATATCTGCGTATCCCATGGCAACAAAGCCACAATGCAGCTGCTGATTGGTCCCAGAGGAATAAAAAAAAAAAAAAAAAAAAAAAAAAAAGCTCCTCCCTGGAGTCTGATCCTCTTTAAACCGTGGGGTGTCCCAGAGCGTTTTTGCTGGAGAGCGGTGACTTCGGGCAGCTCAGACTCTAGCCTGCCTCCCCCTCAGCGTCCTGTAAGCATCGGTTCATCTCATCTGACACTCACAGCCATTAACATTCATTACTGCCACTGTGCTCAGAGTTGGTGATAAAAGAGACAGCGAGGGAGTGGAGAGAGGGAAAGGAAATAATGGAGGAGGGGAGTTCAGAAGAAGTAGGGAAAGAGAGAGAAAGAAGTTAAGGATCAGAGAGATCTGAGAGGGTGGGGAAAGCTTTCAGCACAGTTGTTAAAACTTTAGCTATTATCTCTTCCTCTTTCTTTTCCCATGTAATTTCCATACTATTTAAGCTTTTTATTTATTTACTTCTTATATGGGAAAAAGAAATACTTTTTGATGATCACATGCACGTTCTTGCTAAATTAGAACACCCTAATAGCTGACAGTTAATCCAAGCTCTTTGAATGAGGTCATCAATTTCATTCACCTGCTCCATGTGGAAACCTCCTAGTCTTTATCATCAGTCTGAGCAGCGTTAGTTACACACCTCACCTTTAGATGTGAGATATACGTATTTGGGTTTTCTTCCAAAAGTCATCCAAAATGCATCTAAATAAAATCCAGTTAGTCCTTGTTCAATTTATCAGTGATGTTGCATCATTTTCATTTTCATGGCTCCTTCTGCTTCACCTTTTTTTTTTTTTTTACTGAATTTGTCACATTTTCTGTGGCATCCTCTGATACACTACAGGATTTTATAACAGTCCTGCTGCAGTATTCAATACAATGACACTTATGCCCAAATAGTTGATTTTTAAACCTATTTGTTCAAAAATTCTTATTGCCGCAAGTTGGGCCATTGTTCAGCTTCCCTCCAATTTTACTCTGGCTTTCTAGTTTTACTTTCAGATAAAACGGTGTGTCATTTTTTTCTGCAAATCTACTTTAACAACAGCAGTATTTTTTTATTTTATTTTGCAGTCATGTACGTTAACATGAACACTAGCAAGAGCTTGCTGGTCTCATGAAGACATTTTAATCTTACTGGAGACTTTTATTACCTTAGGGCCTCCTTGAAGCGTTTGCTTGTTTTGACAGCTAGACCTGAGTAGATTGCCGACTGTTTCGACTGTCCTCCGGTTTCAGACTATTTGCCCTACAGTGGGTCAGCTGATTTCAGGTTTAATTGAGACTTATCTACACATTCAGGGAACGGACATTGAGATAGCAGACTCTTATAAGTACCTGGGTGTTCACCTGAACAAGAAGCTGGACTGGACTCATAACACAGAGGCTCTGAGCAGACTCTTCCTGCTGAGGAGACTGGGGTCATTTGGAGTGCAGGGGGCGCTCCCAAAGACCTTCTATGACTCTGTTGTGGCATCAGCTATCTTCTATGGAGCTGTCTGTGGATAAGCTGATCAGGAAGGCCAGCTCTCTGATTGAATGCCCTCTGGACTCAATGCAGGAGGTTGGAAACACAAGGATCGTAACTAAATCAACATCTCTGTTGGATAATGTTTCCTACCCCATGAATGAAGCTGTACCAGAACTAGACAGTTCCTTCATAGACAGATTGCTGCACCCTAAATGCACCAGGAAGCGTTATCACAGATCCTTCCTACCAGCAGCTAGACTTTATAAACATCACTGTTCCCAACAACCTCATTGAGTTAATAGATTCATGCTAATTTTTTCGCACAGTTACTGTCTTAGTCAGTTAAATAACATGCTGTTGTTTTTTTTGCACATCTCTGGTGTTGCTTCTATTTTTCACATATTCATTACTGAAAAAATGCCCAAAGCTGCTTATTGATTATTTATTCTACAGATACAGAGTATTTATATTGTAAAAACACGATACTGTACAGTACTTGTTTCTTTCTTTTCTTAATTCTGTTACTCATTCTGTTATTTTTATACACTTTCTAAGGTACACATTGTTCGACCACATCTGCTATAACCTTTGCTGCTGTAACACCACAATTTCCCCATTGTGGGAATTTTCTATTCTTTTTTATTCTAAATCCCTTAACAGAGTCATAAGCTGCCCATCTTATTTTTGAGGGCCTCTAGACACCCCTTTCCTAATTACTATGTTGTTTATTCACATTTTAACAGTCAGGAACAAACAAAACTAAAGAGAGCAAACCTTCTTAAAATACAGAGTAATGGCGTTCTCCGTCTTTTTCTGAGTTTAGACATTGTAAACATTTTAAACAGCATGGTTTTGAGTCATTATTTTTAATTAAATTATTTTTCTGTTAAACTAACGTACACCATTTGGAAATATGTCCAAACATGCAGGGTATCAAAGTGGTGTGAACGATATTATGACTACATTCAGTCTTGGGATGTGAGTATAATTCAGCAAATTATCATAGAAAAACAATGTGAGGTTCTGTAAATGGCTCCACACCAGCCTTACCTTTGGCAACCTACGCAGACGAGGACGATAAGGATGGTGACCACAAAGGCAGATGCTGCTGCGATGGCTCCCAGAACCAGAAGGTTTTGGTAGGTGAGGTCTGGACCTGTGTTTTGTTTTTCATCCATGTCACAAGCTCTGTCTTGCTCACTTTCAGTCAAACACCAGCACTGAGAATCGGACCTTGTGATCAGGAAAACCTGGAGGGACAGAAGGAAAAAAGGCACCACATGAGTGACATGGGAGATAAAAGGAAAGTGAAAAAAAGCCCTGCACCAACTACAGAGAAGGATGGTGCGTTTGTGTGAGTGTGTGAGGACACACTTGCCTCTGGCTTTTTATCACTGTCTCTTTCTGACATATCAGTTTCTATTTTTGACTCTCTCCAATAATGCACAGAAAATAGAACACCTTACAAGGAAGCAGCAATGAGCACGCCAAAAACTCTTTCATCACACCGTTCCTAAGCCTGAGAGAACCTGGTTAGTTTAAAAGGAATAAAAAAAATGCAAATTGAACTCATTATAGGTAGCAATAGTGGGACCAGACTGCTGCTATACTTCAGCGATGGGTGTGAATGAGTCACAGCGTGTTGGAGAACAGATAACACAAATATGCATCATTGCAATTTTGCTGCACAGAAGACAGGATAGCATGTTCAGCCCGAGTCTGTTTAGCTTCCAGAAAAAAAATAAAATAAAATCTTTTTCACAAATGTACACAATTCTCATCCATGTCAAGCAAGATATACTCCAGGCAGATTGGCGTGCTGTACATACACCACTGGATTAGTGGATAAAGATTTAATACCTATAATGAAAAAAACTCAAATTAACATAAATACACATTTAGAAAAAGAAAGAAATACTCATCTAAATCAGGTTAAATCAATGGATTCCGATTCTTCTTACATTTTCTGTAAAAGCAGCACAACCCCTTATGTTTCCCCAGTTGTGCTAACAAGCCGTCATTATTCCAGTGACCCACTGCGCCTATGCAGTCAGAGCTTCCAGAATCACAGATTAAAGGAAATAAACAAAAGCATCACATTTCAGTCGCACATGTCAAGTCGCAAACATAGACAAAAAAAAGGAGCGCGACAAAGCATGCATAATGTTTTAGCACCAACAGCTCCTAGAGCTCAAACACAGCAGCAGATTTACAGCAGATGAATAGATGGTTAGCTGTTGGTTCATTATATTATTTTAGATTTAAGTTTATTCATAGATTTCAAAACATTGTTGATACCAGCGAGTTACTACTGCCTTTTTCTCTTAATGTATAAATAAAATGGCTGCAAAAAGTTTGATTTCCAGGAATGAAGTGTGTTACAGTCAAAAATAAATAATTGCCTTAGAGATACATCAATAAGTCAGCCAAAGGTTGGAACAATACAATAAATGCCCTGTTCCCCTGGTTATACTATATCTTTCCAAAACTATGACTATAAAATGCCATTAATCCAATACACATATCCACCAACATCGTGCACTTAAGTCCAGTTTTCTGACTTTAATTAAAATCAAATGAAGGTTGTGAGAATGTACTTGGCTGCATATTGATTTTCACAGTGATCCTGTCGAATCATGACACATTTCTAGAAGTCTGAAAGAGGTTTGTATTGTTTTCTAAATCTGCAGCAGTATAAACAAAGAAAAGCTAGATATTGGATCAGTTTGAATTTTTCTGCAGAACAAAAGATCTTTATCTTATAATATATTTAAGATGTAATAAAAGGAGAATTCATTATTCACACAGTGTAGATAAACTATGAATTTATAAAAAACAATAGGAGAAAAACTAATTTTCATGATATAAGGATGCTTTTCATGAAAAAAATTTAAACAAACGTTATAAATAGCAGCTTACAGTATATAACAACGTATCTTGTATAAAGTTGGTTTTATTTTGTTATACTTGCTTATGGATGCAGATTTAGAGCAGAGCAAGTAAAATAGTGTATTTTAGTAAACGTTTTTTGCAAACATTCTTGTTGAAATAACTTAGGGTTAGGTTTAGCTAACCCTAACCCTTTACTAATTCTGAACACACAGAAACAGAAAATCATTGCTAATTATATGAAGGTTAACATATTCTGTTACACCACCTCAATGCCACAATAATAAAAAACAAAAACAAAGCCAGTGATTGGATTGTGTGACGGAGTTTTTTTTTATTTGAATCCATAAAACAGAAAAAAATATATTTATGAAAAACATTGAAGCATATTTTCATTAGTTTTTGTAAAAAAAACAAAAAAACAAACAAAACAAAACAACAAGAATTGAGAATAAAAGTAGAGTGCATAAACAGGTTATGGTAAAACTCATGCACAAGCTAAGTGGTTGTTGGAGAGACATTGTGGGATTCACCACCACGGGATCCGTCTGAGGCTTTCTGTTTCTGCTGATAAAATGGTTTCTTTTCATAAATACTTCTTATCATTTTTATCTATCTTTTTCTCCCTCTTTTTCAAGATCTCCTCCCGTTCTCCTTCCTCCCTGTCTGCCTGCCTGACCCCACTGATATGTGAGACAATGCACAGCAAATGAATGAAGAGGATGGCGGCCTTAGACAGCCCTTTATGGCACAGACAGACAGGTAGGCAGGCAGAGGAAGTACATCACAGAGGGAAGATGGGGGGAAAAAAGATGGTGAATGAATGGCAGAGAGAGAGGAAGAGGCAGGCAGACAGGAGCGAGCAAGTGGGATAAAAGTTGTTAGAGGATGCACGGAGTACAGGGAAAGAGGAACTCACTTAAAACATGAAGGAGAGGAGAGGGGTTCATAAACAGTGGGGGAGGGAAGAGGGGAAAGAGGAAAAAAGCGGGCCAGCCATGGGAGAATGAGAGAAAAAAAAAGGAAGGAGGAAATGGGAAGGAGTACATCAGTGGTTTGCTTCTTTCTACGATTTGTCAGCCTTCTTCTGAAAAATTTAAGAGAGAAACACATACAAGGGTTGCCCTTCTGCGAGCTCGATGCGAGATTGGAGCACATGTCTACAGCATGCAAACCTTACAAATGGCAACCAGGAACGAAAAAGAGAAGAGATGGCTTCTGCATGTCGCCCGTGGCTGCACACTCAACAGCGCAACTCGGTCAGGGTGCAGGAGGGTTTATTCCAGCATCTGTCTCCATTTCAGTGTTACCAGCAAAAAATGATGACAGTGGTAACGACAGCATATTGAGAGTGATGGCAGGAGCTGTGATGGTACTGGTGCTGCCTGCTGGGGGTGATTATGATAAAGATGTCAATGACGGTGATGATGAAGATGGTGAGGAAGAAGGGTGCAGCTGCTAATACTGATGGTAATGAGGGTGATAATGAGGTCAAATTGAGCGCTGCATAGACACACTGCGGGACGGATGCGAGCAGCAGAAGAAAGGAGGATGCAGCAGTGCAGCTCAACCACAGGGTGGAAGGTTTCCTCTGAGAACACACACGCCCAGCACTAACCAGAACAAACACCAACAAATGTACATAGCATAAAATAAGAGATATTTGCTGCTGCAGATCTAACTGAAATCTTTTTGTTTCGCAACCACTTTTACTGACTAACCCTGAATGTGAATGAGGAGGGACAGCTTAAGGCAGAATATTATTGTTTTTCAATATCTGTACAAGTTTAGGGAACTGTCTGACAGCCAATAGTTTTTGGCTAAACCAAGCGTGTGTCTATTAAAACAAGTTTTGTGAAAACTGTTTATTTAATTTGTGTTTCCTCTTTCTCTTAACAATAAACACTTTTTATGAAGTTTAAATCAAGCAAGTATGCTGACGGATCCAGAGCAGTGATATCATCGTTATTGAACAGGTACTGGTTCTTTGGACTGTGTCGGTAAATACAAAATCCTGTTTGAAAATCTTCCTCATACAGCTTTCAAGCAGGGGCTTTAAAATGTATGGGGAGATGGCTTGGATGAGTTTAAACACTTTAAAACAAAGTGGAGCGAAATCTGCAAGTGGCATGACTCCCCAAATCACTACTGAGAGCAGAAACTTCACATTGGACCTCCAGCAACTTGCTTTATGCTCTATAAGCTTTATTTCTGATTGAAAAGCTAAACTTTTTTTATCTGAAAAGATAGTAAAGGCCCCATGTCACTGATAAAGTGACATGAACACGTTTGCAGCTGATGTCCAGTATTCGTATACTGCACATGTGGCAGATCTTAAAGCATTGGCTCCAGCCTCAGACTATAAACCCGTTTCCTTCCATTCAACTTCCCATTATTAAGTTTGCATACAGTACCTAGTAAAAACCCATATGTTTTAGCGATGATCTTTTATGTCCTACTTTACTTCACAAGGTATTAATGATTCTCTGCTGGACAAATATAAAGTTTGTCCTTACATTGAGTTTGAAAAGCATAACCCACTTTCTACCATAAATAAAGATATTTGTTTGTATCACAGCTTTCTGAGAAGCATTTTGTTTTTTTTATTATCTGTTGTTATCATCTACATTGTAAAAAAAAATTGTAAGAAATATATTACTCTTTATTTAATGAATTAAATGTTAGCCATTAGAACTGAATTATTGAAAAAACACAAACGTTCAAATTAGGCTTTTGTTAAAAGGCACCTAGAAGTCTTTCCTCTTCAAATCTCAACTATTTTTAAGAATTCATATCTCATATTCTTGCATGCATAACAGTCGGTTATTAATTAGAACCTAAAAAGTGTCTAATCAAAAAGAAAATGTGAGATGAAAAATTAATAAAAATGTATTTTATAATAAGTTTCTCAAATATGAAACACCTCACTGGTGATAAGCAGCACTACTACTAAAATGGGACAAAAAACAGGTTTAAAAATAGGTCTAACCTGATTAAGCAGCGTTTCTAGGTTGACATTAACTTTTGTATTTCTATTGTTTCCATGAGTGCTTCCAATCATCAGGAAAGTGTTGGCTCAGCTTGCTGTGTCAGAGAGGCTTTCACTGGAAATGCAAAGCATCCGAACAGAATTGACATAAGCTCCAGCCAAAAGCAGCAGAAAGCACAAAGTGGGCTGCTTTACACAGCGCTGAGTACACACGCATATTAAGGTTAACTACAGCTTTTACAGGTGATTCCCTAAAGTCTTGCAATATTGATAAAAGCTGATTTTGCACGCTAGAAAGCTTTTTCTTCAATGTAAAGCTCCACTTGCTGGTTTCTGATTAACAAGCAAGAAAAAAATTGAATTTATGGATTA